AAGCTGGGCGCGTAATAGACGAAAGGTAATTAACGTTTACCAAACGCAATGCTATTTTACTTAACGGAATGTACAAAACGGACTTTGCTGCAACTGGGAATGGGTCACAAACATGTCTTGGTGAGCTTTTGATATTGTCTTGTTTGCGATCTTCTTGCAAAACTCAGCGTGATGTAAAAGAGCCAATCAATGAGTCATGGTGCGAAAAGATGAAAGTGGCCGGTGCTTGTGCGTACTTTGCCATAAAAAATTGCATGTATGGGAGCAGGGCTGGACTGGCCATCGGGCGTACCGGGCAATGCCAGAAGGGCCGATGCCCATATTTGGGCCGGTCTGTTTGCCTCATACAAAAAAGATGTTTGTGAAAAGTGTAAATCCGTTGAGAACTGTTCGAGGGGGCGCGCGTGTCCGCGGGGCACCTGCTGTATGTACTGGAACGGGATTCTACCACCTCAGCGGCCGCAGTGTTCCGGCATCCAGCGGCTCTGAGCTGGACGCGGGAACCGCTCACCGGGAGCCGCTCACAACACAACACGGTGAGCGCGTAGCCGCAACGTGACCATGTACCCAAGACCATAAACGTGCACAGGACCATGCGTGTCTTTGCGTAATTTGTGCACCCAATAAATACACCGCTGCAGGAAACAGTCCGCGTCTCCCCTCTCCTCTCGAAGTGCGACTAAATTAAAGCTCGGGTGCCTAAATTTTCCATTGCATTAAAAGTTCATGTTTGAGCCCAAAAGTAAAATGTTGTGAAAAAATTAAACAGATTTAGAGCCAGCCAATGGCTGACATTATGCATTTCAGACTTTTTTGACCAATTCTCATCCCTGTAACAAACAACAGTGTTGTCTGCGGCCACCTCCCTCACTCTGAGACATGTTTATTACTCTCTTGTAATGTAGACTATTGCCCTTTATTTTTTTGTTGAAACTGTAGACATCCTGATCCTCTACAGTATTTGCTTCCACATACTGTATAAACCAGGGATCGGCAACCTTTAGTGCTCCTCCAGTGGCTCCTGGAGCCTTTTCAAAAATGTCTGAAAATGGAGTGGGAGGGCTATATTTTATTTCTAGTTTGAATGTGGTTTCTGTAGGAGGAAAAACATTCCTAACGTATTTCAATGCTGTAAAAATGTGTATAAGTAATATTCAATTTCAACATTTCTGTCAACGTAGTGAGTCATAACCTGTGGCGCGGCCCCCAGGCGGCCGCTGCTGTAAACAAACCGGCGTGTGCGCACGGATCCCAAAGATAAAAAGAGAACGAGTCGATAATAAGACTGGACTAAGAACAAGACTGAACATTTGCTTTTAGTCAATGAGGAAGGACTGCTTCATGTTTGCGATGTAATAGGAAGTTTTGTTGCAACACGAGGAACAATGAAGCACTAAATAGACATTCAGCTCCAGCAAACTTCAGCCTGTGACGTAATCGATATGAGCGGACAGTGCAGGTGTGTGACCTTTGAGCCAAAAAGCAGATTTATTTACTGTATTTCTACAGTTGCATGAAGGCAAAAAAATGGAAGTCAAAGTTAAAGCAGAGTCATCGCGTGGTGCGTCATTCTCTCCAGGACACGCTGCAGTGAAAATACACATTTGACAATCATGAATGCTTATTATGTATTTGTAGCCTTTACTTGGTCATTTAGATAATAGGCTAATGTAGCTAATGTAGCTACATTGTGTAACCTTCATATAAGCTTTATACAAGGCTGTTATTTTTTTGCGGCTCCAGACAGATGTTTTTAGTATTTTTTGTCAAATATGGCTCTTTGAACCTTTTGAGTTGCCAATCCCTGGTATAAACAAACTGTAAAAAACGTGACAAAAACATGCCTGGGCCGGTAAGAAGGAAAAAATGCCCGGGCCGTTTTTTTGTCCCAGTCCAGCCCTGTATGGGAGTAATGAGAAAAAAGTTTTGATTCGCCACCAGCTCAAAACTGCGCACAAGGCAGCTGTTTGTGCACTTTCCCACACTTCATCTTTACCTGGTGCATCAGCAACAACTGACACTAGGTTTGCTCTGGCGGACCGTGTCTGTGGCTTTATCGCAGAAAATAACGTTCAGAATATCACTACCGCTGGTACATTTATTTAAATCATTTGCAGTTGATCGAAGTGCACTGTGCACTCAAACTTGATAGGGAAACCTTTTTCTTAAATATTGACGTGTCCACAAACAAATGTGGACAGAATTTTATCGTCCTTTTGCAATATTTTGACGAGGACAGAGCCAAAGTGTTGACGCTCCATATCGCCTCAAGTAAAGCTACTCTCACTAATATTCTGTCAAAAAGTTGACTCGTTGCTTGATCCACTTATATTTCATATCAAAATACACTGTATATCTTTGAAGAATTCATTTGAGCTGTATTCAATATACAATCTATTATACAATAATATATTGTAATAAAAAATATAACTTGGTCCTGCATATTACTGTGATTTACATGTGATAAATTTCCATGCAAAAATTTTCAGTCAAATCTTTTTTTTTTGCTTTAACCCCTGCCCTAACCTTAACCATCTTACTCAGACACCTAAAAGTTAATCAGTCACCACTTAAAGAGTTTTTAGTCTAAAACTAATTCGAAAGTAGGAGTGTTACTTCTGGTTTCGTCCCAATTCCGTTTATGATCTAGTGCCGACCATACCAAGAGGGTTCAAAGCTCCTGGGCCTTTCTGAGTGGAGTTTTTAAGCTCTCTTCGTGTCTGCGTAGATTTCGCCAGGTGCTAAAAACACCACAAAAAACATATAAGTACAATAGGTCTGAATGTAATGAATGAGTGAATGGATGGTATTGGTGCGAACTCTGAACTTTGTAAAGCTTTTTGGGTGACATCGGTCTGTAAAATGTGCTATATGATTAAACATTACTTACTTACTTACATGAGGAAATGGGTAGAGTCTTCCGTGCTCCTGCTTGGTTGGAGTGAAAACCTGCAGCCACAGCAGACCTTTGACACCCCTGGGTTACACACAGACACATTACAACTATCCTACTTCCAAAATCACTCAACTTAACTTTGCAAAAACAACATGAAACCACCGACATCTCTCTCCAGATCCTGTCACTCGAGGATTAAACGCTGAAAATCCAAATCTATATTTGACTTGAGCGAGAAATGAAACTTAAAGACGATTTTTTGATCCCGTCTTTTTCTGCGCACTCCTCTTATCTTTGCCCATTAGTGGCGCACCTGTCAGATCGAAGCGGCGCCAAGCGAAAACCCGTAATTGCATGTGTCGTTATTTGTCAGCCGCAGATGTGATGAAACCAGGGGGAAAAAAAGAGAGAATAAATTAATTAGTATCTTAAGAATTGGTAAATGTGTCCTCAAAAGTGGCGCGGACAGTCGGAGGCCGTCCATAATGATTTGGGATTTATTTGGTATTCCGGAAGAGCACGTTCCTGTCAGGCAGCGTGCGGAAAAATGAGCCTGGGACGTGTTTGATTTGGATATTAAAGACCTTTTTGAGGGGTGGGGTGTCTTTGTGGATTCTGATTCCCCGTCTCTCCCATTGATGCCGTGGTCTTGCAGCTGGAAATGGAAAATCAAATCGGCGAGGAGAGCAGCGGTGGCGGAATCGTGACTCGCTTGATTTGGTGCGACAAAAACAGACTTCTGGGAAAGGACGAGGCTCTCGTAATAGTTTGTAGTTTTGAAGTTTGTAAAAAACAGAGAAGTGAAGAAGCATCGGTGAAAGATGTGGAGGACTGGGCCTGGATCACTGACGACACAACGGCGCCCCTGCTGTTTGTAAAGGAGATTGAATTTCATTTTCAAAAGACAATATATTTCTGACATTTAGACACTGTACTCATTTCAATTCAATGTATTTTTGTTGTTGTTCTGAATCACAACAGCTGTTGTGAACAGGGAATGCAATAACAACAAACACATAAGAGCCATTAGTTCATTGGGAGCGAGATGATCACTGTCAATAAATATATAAATAATTACTATTATGTAGAGCAGGGATGTCAAAGTCAAATTCATCCATGCTACAAGCCGAGGGCCGGACTGGTTCAATATTTATTAAAACATATTAAAATTATGCCTGTAACCTTTTGAACCAAGATCTCAGAGTAGGTTGTATTTTATTTAATGATGAATGAATAATCTAATATTTTGGCTCACAGACAAAAACAAACTTCCTTCAAAGAGAAAACACTTGTCCTGAACACTACATAAATAATATCTTCTTATGGCTCTGTTCAGGCCGGTTCTAATACTAATCAAATATCATCCTGGGGCCAAGATAATTCTTTCACGGGCCGGATCTGGCCCCCGGGCCTTGACTTTGACACCTAGGCTTTAGAGTATGTATGTATTTGCTGGAGGAGAACCCCTGAACCAATGAATTAGGAAGCTGCGGGGGTGAACATGGGAGGGCCTAACCAGCGTAGCTCATAGTTCTGGAAGATATCGAGGACATTTAAGACGAGTTACCAATTTAAAATGTATACTTTATGCATTAAAACAATTGCAGCAGGAATGAAGCTATTATTAAATCTGTTTTTTTTACTTTTTGAGACCGAAAATAGTTGGTCCTGAACATTGCTTTTAAATAGATGGATAACAGCTCAATGAAACCCCATAGGGAAGTGTTCTTAGACAAAGATTTGCTCCAACTCGCTCTGGTTCCACCTCCATAAGCTCATTGATGTTTGAATGCATGACTTAATGATTATTAAGGTGTCACAGTTTTGCCAATGGAACAAGTTTAACATTAATTTATAAGAAAATAAATAGCAATAAGGGAAAAAAACACTTGAAATGTTGATGAACTCAGACTATTCCGTTGAGATATCTGTAAGTCGATCAAAAATAACACAACCTAGGACTAACACTGCTTCATTCAAACACATTCTTTAGCGTTTGCCTTTGTCTGTGTACAATTACACACTGCTTGTTCCTTGTGACCATAAAAAGGACTTCCTTCCATGAGACGTTGTTGCAGCTGCAGAAGAATCAGTCGCGGAGGCCATGACACCAGTCGCACGCATCGATCCACATCTGCAGCTGGTGGGGGTTGGGTTGGGGGGTGGGGGAGAACGAAGAGCACAGGGTCTAAATACAGAGACACAGGTGCAACACATCTGAGCAAACCATCCTCTGACAATATGTATAACTGAAAACAAGAGAATGACTAATTATCAAAATAAATGACCAAAAAGTCCTCACCATGGTTGGTTTTAGCCTTTTCTATAAGATTGGCTGGAGAAGAGTTGTCAGTTGATTAAGGATTTGACTCGAAGAACCTGCTTTCATTTTAAAATCCCCAATATGAACTCCCCAATGAAAATAAAATAAAAATACAGACATAGACTTTAGACCATTAGATAAGGAATGTCAAAGATTGTATGTCTTATTTGATGACTGTGTTCAATTCCTGAACCTCGGCAAAAATGGGATGTTTTTTTGAAAGATCTCAATTATTTGTCATTTTTTTTGCCATTGAAATAAAATCCCTCTCCACCAGGGCCACTCTTCGAGCCCCCACACTCTTGGCCTCGGAAAGTACAACTAATACTTGCCAAGTTTCAAAGCCCATTGATTTGAAATGTACTGTTGCTTCTATTGTGCGGCGATGCAAAGAGAACGTCCAAGGTCTGCGAGGCACTCTGCAGGGTCGGCCTCTGAACACACACCGACCCTGCTATTCAAAAAGAAACGAGAAAAAGCCATTTCTAATCAATGATCGCTCCTGTTCGCTCCACCAGGCCTCATTTATCTGACTGCGGCGCGCGTGGAAAATCACAAAAACTAATAATAATAATAAAATGGGAGGGCACCATTTGGGAAAGTAATTGTCTTTGGCGCTGGGCTCGCTAAATCAATTAAAACTCAGTCGTAATTTAGATGAATGCAATTATTCACCATAGCTGTAATTACGATACCTTGGGCAAATCCATTAACAAGGCAAGACAAATGTGTGAAAGTCTAGACACGAATGTATTCCCAAAGTGTAGAGGGAAAAATTACATAGTGACATTAATTTGATTAGCGTTTCATCCGTGATAAGTGTGAAAAGTAAATTATTTCTTCAGTGTTGATTTTTGCTATAAACAAGCAATCCAACATATACTCTGGAACTGCAGCTAGCATTTCAATCAGACATTTAATAACAGCTAATAGTAACAGCTAACTTGCTAATTTGTGATATTAAAAGAACATTGGAAAAGGCTCACGATGTGCTCTTTACCGAGTCATTTTGTTGAAAAGTCTGATATATTTTAGTCCCGTACAAAGACAGTGAGTGTGGATGGGGAAGTCTGGGCGTCTCTGCGGAGATGGCTGCCCCCGTGGCCCAGCGACGGATAAAGCGGAAGAAGATGCATGGATGGACACGTAGAGGTCCACCCCTTTTTGAGCAAATTCTTTTAAGCTAGAGGTGAACAACTTTTGGATGAATATTAAAAACGGAGATATCTGTTTTTGCGTCTTCTCTTTTCATTGCGTTTTCTGATTTTTAAAAAAGCAGAAGATTTTTCATCTCCCTCCACAAATCACCGCAAACATGAAACTCCCTTCTGTCCTGATGCTACATTTTCAAACTCGATGTGAAATAATAACAAACACTTACAATCATGGACAAAGCTGTTTTCTACACAATAAAACAAAAGTATTGCTACAAAATTACTGTTGCAAATTTCTTCTGTCACTAGCGACAGTAGCTCAGTTGGTAGAGCCCACAACCTTCAGGGCTAAAGGCCAATCCTTTAGCCCTGAAGGTTGTGGGTTTGTTTCCCACCTCGACACCTTCTCCACCGACTCCTTCTTGTCTGCTGTTGTTGTGTCCTTGGGCAAGACACTTAACCCCACTTTGCCTGAAGCCCCCGCTGAAAGATCAGCTCCTGTGGACTCAGCACCTGCAGGAGGATCAGTGAGGGGCTGGTGCTCTGTGTACTGGGTGCAGCTCTGACTGCCCCCCCCCCCCCCCCCCGACCCAGAAATGGATTAAGGGGAAGAAAATGGATGGATGGCACTAGCGGCACAGTGGTTAGCGTGGAGTTTGAACGTTCTTTGTAGTTTACTCCAGGTGCTCCGGTTTCCAGTATAACTAAAAACATACTGCAGCTGCTGTCTCTCTGGGGCCAGGACTCCCCTGCAAAAAGGACTCTGAGACTTTCCTGCGTTAACAAAAGTAAGTAAATATATTGTTTGATAAAAATCTAAATCTTTCTTTCCATCACTTTTTTATGATTCTACTTTATTATTCTGCAATAATAACAATGCTAAAAGCTAAATATCTATATTGCTGAATAAGAAAGAATTTAGAATTGAACTGGGTAAAGATTCTCAAAATGACGTTTGCCCTGGAACCATCTTCAAATGTTGATGCTTGGCTCGGTCAAAATCAATATCATTGGAGGATTGTATAACCGGAGCACCTGGAGGAAACCAGCCCAGACCCAAGGATAAACAGAAAAAGTTTTTGCTCTTCACGACAAAATAATAATGTATGAAAGAGGCCTATTTGGCATATTTCTGTTGGATCGACGTTCTGTGGTTCTGGGAAAGAACGTCGAGCGAGGGCAATTTTTGGTCAATATGTTCTGGGGTCACAGTCAATCTAGTGTTTCCAGGTGTCGTCTTTGGAGGAGCGGGTCTGAAGCATTAGCTCTGCCTTCTGTCAAAAAAGCCAATCAATGTGGGGCGACAGGGCGAGCGCGAGGAGCTTGTTGTCGGCCGGAGGTGCTGCTCCTCATTGACCCCTGAAGAGCAGGTCGGATCCCGCTGACATTTCATTCAGTCTGAGCAGCTCCTCGAGAAACAGCAAATTCTGGATTATTTCTCTCCCCTCATCTATAAGAAGATTGGAGATTTGAAGCAGCTCTACAATTTTAGATATAGCCTGATTCTGATTTTAGTATCGTATATTGTGATTTTTATGTTCACGGTGTACGATAAACATTAGCCAAGAAGAATGATGATTGTACCAGAATGTAGCAGCAGTGACTACACCTGTAGTTCCTGTGGTTTAGTTTATCAAGACAGAAAATAGATTTGCCAAAAGTGGCTGTCCATACATTGCATTACATATACTGTACATACACAGTGAATTTCAGGCCTATAGTTTGGGGTCCTCTGGATTCCCCTCTGGACTTCTGTCTGGACTCCTGTCTGGACTCCTGTCTGGACTGCTCTCTGGACTCCTCTCTACACTCCCTTTGGACTCCCCTCTGGACACCCCTCTGGACTCCTTTCTAGACTCCTCTAGACTCCCCTCTGGACTCATTTCTAGACTCCTCTCTAGACTCCTCTAGACTCCCCTCTGGACTCCCCTCTGGACTCCCGTCTGGACTCGCCTCCGGACTCCCCTCTGGACTCCTCTCTAGACTCCTCTCTAGACTCCTCTCTAGACTCCCCTCCGGACTCCCCTCTGGACTCCTCTCTGGACTCCTCTCTAGACTCGCCTCTGGACTCCCCTCTGGACTCCCCCTCTGGATTCATTTCTAGACTCCTCTCTAGACTCCTCTAGACTCCCCTCTGGACTCCCCTCTGGACTCCCCTCTGGACTCCCCCTCTGGACTCCCCTCTAGACTCCCCTCTGGACTCCCCTCTGGACTCCCCTCTGGACTCCCGTCTGGACTCGCCTCCGGACTCCCCTCTGGACTCCTCTCTAGACTCCTCTCTAGACTCCCCTCCGGACTCCCCTCTGGACTCCTCTCTGGACTCCTCTCTAGACTCGCCTCTGGACTCCCCTCTGGACTCCCTTCTCCCTTCTGAAATTAAAGAACGGTCACTAATGAAACTCTACATCGCGCCAGGGGACCCACCTCGGCTTGATGTTGTTAAACAGTGACTACAATTACAGCGCTATAAAAAGTGTTATTTTGTGTGTTATATATGTTCCAATTCTGCTGCCGACCTAACATGCACTTTCCTTGGGCTGCTCAGAACAAATGAGCAGGTGCCGTCTCTTTAAGTATCCTGTAAATACATTTATTGAAGCTAACCTGGGCTCCTCTCATCTCGGCTCATAATCAGCAGATATAGTGGATCTATAGCTGCAGTATAAGTAGTAGACAGTGACAGGAGCTGCGTTTACTCTGGAGGGATATGCGGCCTGTAAGCTAACAACATGAATATTAAGCAAGCCCACACAAGAGGCTTATAGCTACTGTCTAATTATTGAGTGCTGCACTATTCTCCAGCCACTTAGCAGAGCCGGGTTCTTTTCACAACTTCTGTCTGCAGGTGAGAAGGAATTTAATTTTAGCAATATCTTAAAATGCATCGTGTTAACTATGAAACAAGTATGAAATGATAGTTTGTAACGACCCCAGGGAAGATCCAGTAAATGCTAAGGAAATTCAAAAGAAACTTACATAACTTTTAAAAAATCAGCCTAGAGTTAATTATAGCCAGAATAGTGGCCTTCACGAAGATTGATCCAGATTTTAGCTGCATACATCTGAAACTTAATGTACTGTATTGTATTTGTAAATTGAATTGTGTTTATACGTTGCTTTTTTATTTTTAGGCTGGCCTTAACATCTGCCCAAGGGACGACCGATGAAAATTAGGTTTAATTTAGCTAATTTGGGCACATTTACATTGTGTAATGTTGAAAACGCTGCCTCCCCTATGTTTAGCCCTGACTCTAGGACCAGCAGGAGGCCCCTGTGCTCCTCAGAGTCCCAGCAGGAGGCCAGTCCCTGTGCTCCTCAGAGTCCCAGCAGGAGGCCAGTCCCTGTGCTCCTCAGAGTCCCAGCAGGAGGCCAGTCCCTGTGCTCCTCAGAGTCCCAGCAGGGGGCCAATCCCTGTGCTCCACAGAGTCCCAGTCCTATGAGCCTCAGGAAGCCAGTGCAGAGACCTGAGAACTGGACTAATGTGATTGTACTTAGTGGTTGTAGTCGGGACTCAAGCTGCAGCATTTAAAATACAGTATACTTAACATATCTCCATCTATTCCAAATCTCCACCAGAAAGTTCCAGAAATTGTGTACCTGTGAGTAACACTTTCCACTCACTCATTAACTTCACAGCAGTCGTTATGCAAGAAAGCAGCCGAGTGTCGAGTATCGCTGCATAAGTTGGGTATCCTCGCGGTTTAATTAGCGCGGCGGCGTTGGGAGGGCTGAGGCCGCTGTCTGGATGGGGAGGCGACACAGGAGTTCATGTTCCGCTGGGTTGATCATTAATTAGGTCTGGATGTCACTAACTGCTGTGCACGGGGGCCACCACGGTCTGCGCAGCGACTCGGGAGACCCCATTTAGAAGGACACTCAATCAGCCTGTGCGAGTCAGCGTTCTGTGGGTGTTAAAAGGCTTTGCAGAGGGTTTTGTGTTGATTTTGTACCGCAGTATTTAGTTTGCTTCTTCGTCACAAGCAAACCAGTCTAGTTTGTGTGATTTTCAAAAGTCTCCCACCGTGAATCTCATTGAATTTGAAGAAGAAGATATACTTTATTGATATCACAATGGAGGAATTCAGTTTGATGAATAGTTATTTACACATACACTGTTACTTCTGCTCTCCTTATAGGTAAAGTGTCTTGCCCAAGGACACAGCAGACAGCAGTGGGTGTCAGTAGAGAAGGTCTTGCGGTGGACTTGAACCCACAATCTTCAGGCTCAAAGGCCAATGCTCTACTAGCTTTGCTACTGTCGCTGCTGTGATGTCAGTGGTCAAAGCTTATGAGGTTCCCTGCGCCTTTTTAGGTCCATGAGTCAATCACGGACCCTCTGCTTTGCTAACCGCGAACCCACAGAGAAGCCACTGAGATCGCTACGCTCGGCCACCGGGATCAGAAACAGTTCCCAGTGTCATCCAGCCGACTTCCGCTCTGCCACCACAGACATGCAGGTAGTAAAGCTAAGAATCTCAGGCATCGAATCGAGAACTTTCACTAAATCAACATTTTTTTTTTTGATCGTATGATGCTATAAGGCGCTAACGTGGCTCGTGAGGAAGTAAACATTTGTCATTGAGCTGAACTTGTCAATTGGGAATCAATATCAATCGATCAAAATGTTTAATTCAAAATCTTCATCGACATGATTTTACGGAACAAAATAACAGACACAGATATATATACGTACATGTTTTAAAGGGAATGGAGCAGAAACTTCAGACTATAAACAGTGATTATTATATTTAAAACGCTGCAGCTCGAGTACTGACTAAAACCTGGAAGTATGATCACCTTAGTCCTGCACTGGCTTCCTTAGACCCTCCTGCATAACAAAAACATTGGGAAAAAATGAGGTTTCACACTTTGAGAGATCAGACGGACAGACTATAGATCCAGGTGTCAGTCTGTAGAATGAGGACTGAGGTTGTGCGGTGCAGGACTGAAGAGGCTCCAGGCGAGGAGATTAGGGCAATACAAGGCCATGTTAAAGGAGTATTTAATCAAATGTTTACAGTATGTTGTCTTTTCTTCTTTGCCTGTGCATTGTTCCGTTACCATAAAAGCATGTTTAGACCCTGCTGCCCCCTCGCCCACACTGACGCCTTTAATATGAACAGTATATTCAGTATTTGTTATGAAACCTGCGGTGTCACCTCATAATGTGTTTGTAGAGATGCAGAGTACAATATTTCCTTGCCTCCTCTCCTGCAGCGGCACCAGAGCGGTGGAGAGCGGAGGGACTGCTCGCCGCTGAAGGTAGGAGGACGTTAACACCTTCTAATAGGATGTGACTCAGACTAATGCAATATTGGCGTTTTAATGATGATTCATCTGAGGCCCCGGAGCTCGCGGGCCCTTCACAGACGCTTGTTTAGAACCTCAGCCGTCTGATTCACACAGACACGCTCTCTCCCAGGACGAGACACAATCAGATCACAGCGATGCCAGGACCGAAGCCTCTATCCACGCAGCAAACGCCATCGTCTGGTTTCACATATTCTACTTCAGTGGGAGAATTATTTATGTTTGTTCATTAATGTCTAACTTTCAAACCACATCCATGTAGCACAGTCCCTCTACCTTTTTTCATCGCTCTCAAAACAGTTTGGGTCCATCACTTGTTTTCACATTCTTTTGATCGGAATTTTCAGACAGAAATGTGAAAAAAAGACCACTGTCACTCAGTCAATCATTCAAATGTTCATATTGTCTGTTTTTAATTGTTTTAAGTTTGGCTTTTGAAGCACGGCTAGAGCAGGGATCTCCAACCTGTGGTTCGGGAGCTACCGGTAGCTGGCCAGCCCCTTCCAGGTAGCTCACCAAATGATTTAGAATTTAACAAATGACATTGAATGAATACGTTTTGAGCCAATAAATATCTATTATAAGTATAATTATAGGGTTATATGGTTTTATATGTGTTCCATGTTTTTCATTGTAAGATTTTCGATTTTTATTACGCCTGCAAAAAGAGAGTAGCTCTCTGCCTCTTCGTTTGTATAAAAGTAGCTCTCTGATTAAAAAAGTATGGAGACCCCTGGGCTAGAGTGCATGAATTTGGCTTTCCGTGTCATGGTAAAATAAAATTAACCTAAAATAAAGGACCGCAAATATACATATTTAATCAAAGCAAATAGACAATCCAAGTCCAAAGTAATTTAAAAGGGTTGAAATACACAAGACTAAGAAGAAACAGGTGAAACACAAGAAGGCAAGACCGGTCATCAAACAACAGAAAGTAGAACTAAGGAAAATACAGGATTAATGAACCCAAACCATGCACTGCAAAACATGTATAAAATATGAGGTAATAATTTCTGGAATCAAGTGTTTTTTGTCTTAATCTGACACATTCTGACTGTGTTAAAATATATTCTCCAACGGGACAAAGCCATTTAGTCTTATTTCAAGAACTGTTGCTTTATTTTCTCATTTCAACATATTTTTAAATGTTTCCATATTTCAGCATTTGATTGATTGTAAGTTTTCCTTTGCTTATAAATATCCTCATCTCCGTCAGAAGCCGCCGTTTGGACAAAGCCATCTCCACAAACAGCACAACCACATTACAATTCCACACTATTATCGCTTTAACACCACAGAACAGTGTTGTCAAATCGCGTGGCCCCCGGTGGCTCCGTGCGCAGCTCTGTGACCTACATGTCAAGTCGGGGCCCGATAATTGGAACGCTCCCTCCACTGAGAGCCAAATGGACTCCACCGAACAGCATGAGGCTCCACACCATTAGAACAGCTGCTATCACTGACTCTCATTTAGAACTCAGGAACTTTGTGAACAACATCAAAAGAAACAGATTGGGTTATTTGCAGTAAAACTACATTGGAATGCGTGTGCAAGAGTACCCAGTGTACAAAACAGCCACAAAGTACAAGAAACAATTGTCTCTGTGAAAAACAATCATATATTGTAAGTGTTTTTTGTATTTGCATCTCCACACTGAACTTGATTGTGAAAAACAGAACATTTACACACTTTATACTTCCTGTTTTGTTTCCCTGGTTGATTGTCTGCCCCAACCTTCAGCTGTGTCTCTGTGTCTATATGTACCTGTGCTCTTGTTTTTACCCTGGACTTGTACCCATTTCCTTTATATTTTTTGACATTCCTGCCTCTTGGGTCTTTCTTATTTTTCACCTTGTAACAGATTCACACAGCGGGATTCTTCCTGACTCTCCACATCTGACAATCTTTACACAAGGACTCCCAGAGCAGTCAGTTTGACGGCTTTTAGTTTAGTAATTACTCTAGACTACACTAGGGTATGTACCTTTTTTGGTTTACATAACTTTGTAATTTTTTATGTATCAATATGTAGGGGTCAGTGGTCGTCCTGCTCCCTATGGACCAATGGCTTCTACTTGATTGTTTTCATTGCATTTCCTGTGTTTGAACTGTTTGATTCTCTGATCTGTTGTCGGTAAATGGGCAACTTTTTAAAGTCCTCCCTGACGACTGTTGTTGTGATTAACGGCAATACAAAAATACATTGAATTGAACAACATTCTTATTTAATCTTATCTTTCATTTTTGCAGTTCCGTATTTCTGTGTTCTGGGTATATTTTGTTGTGCCACGTGACTCCATCCATCTTTCTGTAATGCTTCGGTTTTATATAGTGCCTTTTTGGACACTCAAAGACTCTATCTCTGCAAAGACCCAAACTCGTCTAAAAACCACCCATTTCCATCAAGACTTTAGCATCATTTACAACTGCATTTGATCCACTTTTCTGACCTCTCAAACACAACTGAACCAGATTCCTTGGACCATGTTTGGAGTCCGCCCTCTTCCCTCTTTGTGTTTCTATGTATAACTTCTGGGTCCTACCCCCTGCTGGGATGACACTGTTCGCCATCCCACCCACGGCGCTTTTCCAGGACTTTTCCCGTTATATCAACAGTCAGTCTCATTACCGGAGTCTGTAGGACCTTGGATTTTCTCCATGTATCGCAGCAGAATGAAAGAATTCCCAACTCGCTCCGGCAAGAAAAGGATTGTTTTAAAGCCGTGATGCGTCAGAGAGTTAGACGGGATGGAAATGATAGACCTTGACAGATGTTTCCTGTGAGCATCAATTACTGAAAACAAACCGCCGCGTGTTTAAATAGACAATGAAAAATTTGCTTTTGTGGGGGAAAAGCAAGCTGTAATCATGTTCGGTGGGGTTAGCGCGTTGGGAGTGCTCTGGCGGCCGCAGAACCAGCAGGACTTGGCTTATGAAGTGTGACAATCTCGGCGAGCCAATGAAGTTTGTAACTGTTTTAGACAAAGTTGTGTGTGGCGGTAGAAAGGTTTTCAGACAAAAGTGACGATAGTAAAATCCCCAGAACTTAAAACATTATAGGTTTTGAATATTAGCTCATTGACGGTCATTGACGTATTTTTCTGAGACTGGTGATTACAGAAGAACAAAACTAGCTATAAACCAACTTATTTTTGCTGATTGTAGTCGACAACTCTTTCAGAATCTGTGGTTTAATATTTTACATAGTCATAGCACGCAATATTCTGTGGGTCTTGAAAATCAGTGAAATCATCAAAAACGGCTGGCAGTGAAGGAGTTTGGAGTTAGGTATTTAGGGAAATGTTTTAATGAATTAATGCATTGAGTACGGCAATAATTGGTGTACATGTGCTAGGATTTTATTAGCATTTTCTATACATCCTGTACAAGTAATCGAGTATTTACTTTTTGTCACGCAAAATTGTTGTTAATGAGTTCCTTTTACCAGTTTTACGTCTTTACAAGGGCATAAGGCGGTACGGGGGCTGAGTGGTTAGAACTCACAATTTTGCAGGGCTTCAAATCCTGATTGGAACAGGGCCTTTCTGAGTGGAGTTTGCATGTTCTCCCCGTCTCGGTTTAGGTTTCCTCCAAGTGCTCCGGTTTCCCTCACCACAAAATTTTTTTTACATGCGGGCGGCACGGTGGCTGAGTGGATAGCACTCTCGCCTCTCAGCAAGAAGGTCCTGGGTTCGAATCCCGGTCGGACCAGGACCTTTCTGAGTGGAGTTTGCATGTTCTCCCCGTGTCTGCGTAGGTTTCGTCCGGGTACTCCGGTTTCCCCTACCACTAAAAATATGTCCAATAGGCATGTCTGGCAAGCGCCTCCTGTACCGGCGACCCTGCTCCCATCTCTGTGTGGAGTGAGAGATAAATGCCCATAATTAACAATTGTAAACCGCTTTGAGACTCAGATCTGCAGTGAAATGGCAGTATATAAATAAAGATTACTTACTTACTGTTAACGCATCACTGTTTGTTTTAGAATAAGCTCGGTGTGACCCTCCACATGTGTTACGCTAAACGCTGCTCAATAAATCACTTTTAGACAACTGTGAACAACACTTACAAACCAGGCAGAGGGTAACTCATTAAACATTCAAAAGTGACACCTCTTTGAAAAAATACAGTGCAGTAACACTTTTCACCACTTGCTCAATAGCGCCGTCCCTTTTCTGGGGAGTTCAGGGTGCAGTACCACCTTTTCACCACTTGCTCAATAGCGCCGTCAATTATATCTACTATTGTTATTTGTATAAACTGACACTTGCTTTCCATATATGGCGCTTATGTAGCTGCAATGTGAATTAATATGGACGTATCACACCCCATTTCAAAATTCAGCCTGCATCCAGTCCAAACAGTTTCTCGGTCCTTGAATAAGTCTGGTGAAGTAAAGTGGCCCTCTCACTAAAACTTTTAGACACCCACGGTCTCAATTATATCAAACATAATCTTGTACAGCCTCAAATCATGACAGTAGTTATGTCAGAGGACTTTACAAAACCGTTGAATTCTCCACCATAGATCAGAGAATCAAGCCGTTTAAACCCAAGAAATGCAATGATAAAAAACATAAAGAATATTTATGGACATTGATCACCTGCTGCTTATGGACCAACGTCATAAGACCAATGTCCATAAATGTTGATAAAGTCCATTATTGTTGTTGAATGTCAAGTGTCTGGATCATCACCACTGTCCTTGGACCCTCCTGCATCGGCAATTTCTCGTCTCACAGTCTTTGAAACTTCCGGGCAACGCTCAGAAAGTGTTATAATTGACATTTCCATATGAGAGTTTTAACGTTCAGGACTTTAGATCATGGCAGAGTTAAAGAGAACCCAGCGGGGGGAGACGACACAGGCAGTGGAGCGTCAGGGAAAGTTCAGACGCCGAGGATACAACCTGAAGGTCAACGGTCGGACCAAAGCCACACTGCTGCTGCTGCTGCTGCTGCTGCTGCTGCTGTTGTTGCTGCTGCTGCTGCTGCTCCAGACAGACTCTTCCTCACCTTACATATTAATGTGGTGTGAGTAGATGGTGGTCACCGCAACTAGACTTTCAACTGGCGTGACTTTCAGACACGCCAATGTCTGAAGAGAAGCATTCATATTTTCTGTGGATTTTTACAAAAAACAAACAAAAATACCTTAAAATAAAGGTTTCACATGTCAATATCTCTTCTTCACTGAGTACAAAAATCTAAATATGATGGTGTTTATACTTCTGACTTCTTTCCATTCTGGCCTGAGTGAACAAAGGAGACTCGTAAATGTTTATATCTGTCTGTATCATGTAATATGTATATACTGTGAATTACATTATTTGAATTTGACAAATGAAACCAATACAAAATAAATAGTAGAGATTAGACATGGCAGGAAAAAGAAACGGGAAAATCTACAAATCTCAACTTTTTCTTGGAAGTCCCTCTGTCTAAAAGCTCATGTCTCAGTCGTGTAAATCTGTGTCATTGTACCGCTAAGAACCAAAGTATCGCTCATCAGCAAATTCTCTGACAAAAACTGTTTCCAATGGTTGCACGGGGCGGCACGGTGGCTGAGTGGATAGCACTCTCGCCTGTCAGCAAGAAGGTCCTGGGTTCGAATCCCGGTTGGACCAGGGCCTTTCTGAGTGGAGTTTGCATGTTCTCCCCGTGTCTGCGTAGGTTTTCTCCGGGTACTCCGGTTTCCCCTACCACTAAAAATAGGTCTGGCATGTGCCTCCTGTACTGGCACCCCCACTCCCAAAAAAAATCACAATTGTAAACCGCTTTGAGACTCCGATGTGCAGTGAAAAGGCGGTATATAAATAAAGATTACTTACTTACTTACAATGTACCCTTCATACATGTTTCAGCATTCATTTTCCACTGAAGACAAAATTTCACATCCTAAAACATGAAATTACTGTGTAAATAGTATTAATATACATTTTAAAACTTTCCAAAATATTGCATAGTGTTTGTTTTGGTGGGGCGACAGTGGCTCAGTTGGTAGAGCATTGGCCTTTGAGCCTGAAGGTTGCGGGTTCGAGCCCACCACAAGACCCACTTCAAGACTCCCACTGATGGCTGCTGCCGTTGTGTCCTTGGGCAAGACACTTAACCCCGCTTTGCCTGAAGCCTCCGCTGAAAGATCTCAGCTCCTGTGGAGTCACCACCTGCAGGAGGATCAGTGAGGGGCCGGTGCTCTGTGTACTGGGTGCAGCTCTGAATGCCACCCCCCCGACCCAGAAATGGATAAAGGGGAAGAAAATGGATGGATGGATGGATGCATAGTGTTTGTTCTTTAAGTTAATTCTTTCTCTGTTGTAGATAAATAAGACAAATCCCTCATCCCTGTCCAAAGTCTGTAATAACCCACACAAACCTGACCATTGTTCCCCGCCACGCTCCTGTTGTGTCCCAAAGGTCACCGCCGACAGCCCTATTATCCTTTGAGCATCTATTTCCCATGTAAAATAAGCCGTTATTGTCAAACCGTCACCGCGGTCTTCCTCACAGCGCCTCCAACGCCTCCCTCTCTCCCCCACCTCAGCTCCGGCCAGAAGTAAAAGGCCAAGGCGTAGGAAAAGCGCGTTAGCACAACACGGCGCAGATTAGCTGTCATGCACTCGTGTTATTTAATTATCCAAAGGGCAGCGGGAACAGGGCGCTGCGTCTGTCTCAATCCCATGATGCACTGGGCCGTGAGCCGGTCAGGAGTGTCCCCACAAGTCTTGGCGAAAAGGTCACGGCGTCTCCGCTCGGGTTGAGGGCTGGCAGCGGCGGCGTTCAAATGGAAATGTTCCCGGAGCGATGTGACAATTAGCCGGTGTTAACAAGGTACGAAGGCGGGCAAAGAAGAAGGCGGAAGTGTGTCGGGGTCTGGGGAGCTCACACCTGTGGAGCAGGAGGTGGAGGGAGTGGAGGAGGTGGTTCGAGGGGGAGAAGGAGGTGGTGGAGGAGGTGGACGTGGTAGAGGAGGAGCAGGAGGTGAAGTGGTGGATGAGGAGGAGGAGGTGGACGAGGAGGAGGTGGTGGGGGAGGTGGTGATGGAGGAGGTGGAGGGGGTGTTGGAGCAGGAGGAGATGATGGAGGAGGTGAAGGGGGAGATGGCGGTGGAGGAGGAGCAGGAGGAGGTGGTGGGGGAGTTGGTGATGGAGGAGGTGGAGGGGGTGTTGGAGCAGGAGGAGATGATGGAGGAGGTGAAGGGGGAGATGGCGGTGGAGGGGGAGCTAGAGGTGGGGGAGAAGGAGGAGGTGGTGGAGCAGGAGGAGATGATGGAGGAGGTGAAGGGGGAGATGGCAGTGGAGGAGGAGCAGGAGGAGGGGATGGAGGTGGTGATGGAGGTGGTGGAGGGGTAGAGCTACTTTTACACAACAGAAGTGGCAGAGAGCTGGTCCCTTTTCTAGTTGTATAAACGTCTATATGAAAATAACAATAAAACATGGAGAACACATGTAATATACACCATAATACTGTATAACCTTTTTATTTATACTTAAAATAGATATGTATTGACTCAAAATATCACGTGTTAAACTCAAAATCCTTTGGGAAGCTACCTAAAAAGGAGCTGGCGAGCTACAGGCAGCTCCCAAGTTACTGGTTGGAGACCCCTGCTCGATAAAATTTAAAAAAAAATAAAAAAATCTCTTGCTCTAGCATCAAAAAGAACTCACAAGTTTCCAAACGCAGCCAGATACAGTTGAGCCAAGTGGACTAAACTATAGGGCCAAGTAGGGCTGGTGGAAACGGGGCTAGAGAGGGAGACCATGGCTGCTGATTGGACATAGACAGGAGGATTCTAGATTCAAACGGTTTTTCATGAAAGATGTTAGAACAAAGGCTGCAGCAGGCTGGTGTAATCGCTCTATGCTTTCATTACCGCTTCATTAGAAGTAATTACATAAACTGGCCATAATTTCGGGTGATTTTTACTGTAATGGAGAAGCCTGCAGATTCTAGACCAGCTGAATGTGCTCCAACATATGAAATGAAGGCTGTTGGATGCATTATTCACAGGCGCCCTCCCGACATGTGTCCTAATTACTACGATGGTCTTCATGTTCCTCGAAAAAAGTATTGTATTTTCAAAACCTTTTAGTAATCTTTTGTGGCAGCCTGAAATGTCAGAATGGCTGGGTCAAAAGTACAACAGTAATGCCTCTCCAACTTTCAGTCTGAGCCGTGACTTCTTCTTGAACCTTCCCAAAGCCAATTATTCTGTTCATCAAAAATATCCCGACGTGAGCTATTCTCGTCTGCACTTTCTCTGTGCTAACTAGGCACAATTAATGCTAATGCGCCTAATGCTCTCTTTTAACCTTAATTGGTGGTGGTTGTTTTTAGAGACAGCTCTTTGCGTTCGGCTGCTGGGACTAAACTGGAAACTCCACTTAGAGATTCACAGCTTGTTTGACCTGTCAATTCTGTGTTTACCGTTACGGACAAGCCTTCAAAGTGAGAGGGAAAACAGTCCGGAACGCTTTGTAATTGGATCTTATTGTGAAAACTGACACCTCGGAGGGATGCTCTGGGGTTTGGAGACTGTATGTGTTTACCTACGATGAAGAGTCAAATTCACCTGAGCATGTAACAGTCAACAAGCACCATCAGGGAAGTTGAAGGCAGTCGGGGAAGTGCTGGGACAGAGTTAGAAATGGATATAAGAACGAACCATATCACTTTTACATTGCAGAACACCATACAGGGGGAAACATGGGGGTGGAAACAGTATGGTTTGGGGCTGCTTTTCTGTAAAGGAGATAGGTCGACTGATCTGTGTTTAGCAAAGGGCCTTGTATCTTGAGACTTTGGCCGAAAACCTTCTTCCATCAGTAACAAGAACCCAAAACACACAGTCCCAGCAACAAAGGAACAATCCACTACTTCGAAATACCCAATAGTAAGTCTGTGTCGCCCAGCAAAAGCCACAAAACAGAAACAGATCCCATGAAGATCTGCATGGAAGAATGGGTCAAAATTCTAATTTCAGTGTGTGAGAACTGGGTGAACACCAACAGGAAACCTCTGTCATCGCCCACAAAGGCTACATTACACAGTACTTAGGTTAACTTTTGTCATTGGTCAAGTACTAATTTTTTTCAATAATATACACTTTTCTCCGATGATGAAACTTGAGGACCTCTCCTATTTTTTTAATGGGAAATTCTGAAAACTCAAATCTGTTTTAAAGCCTGTTGTATGTGTGGGTCAGGCGACATGACAAGTAACAAGAGTGAACCCCATCAACGTTTGGGTTTTTGCACACGCTCCTTCCTTTCTAAAGTAGAGATAATAGAGAGACCAGAGAGAGACACCAGAGAGAGACCAGAGAGAGAGCAGAGAGGGACCAGAGAGAGACCAGAGAGAGACCAGAGAGAGAGCAGAGAGAGAGCAGAGAGAGACCAGAGAGACAGCAGAGAGGGACCAGAGAGAGACCAGAGAGAGAGCAGAGAGAGAGCAGAGAGAGACCAGCGAGAGACCAGAGAGAGACCAGAGACAGACCAGAGAGAGAGCAGGGAGAGAGCAGAGAGGGACCAGAGAGAGACCAGAGAGAGACCAGAGAGAGACCAGAGAGAGAGCAGAGAGAGAGCAGAGAGGGACCAGAGAGAGACCAGAGAGAGACCCAGAGAGAGACCAGAGAGAGACCAGAGAGAGATCAGAGAGAGAGCAGAGAGAGATCAGAGAGAGACCAGAGAGAGACCAGCGAGAGACCAGAGAGAGACCAGAGACAGACCAGAGAGAGAGCAGGGAGAGAGCAGAGAGGGACCAGAGAGAGAGCAGAGAGAGACCAGAGAGAGACCAGCGAGAGACCAGCGAGAGATAAGAGAGGGACCAGAGAGAGACCAGCGAGAGACCAGAGAGAGACCAGAGACAGACCAGAGAGAGAGACAGAGAGAGACCAGAGAGAGACCAGAGAGAGACCAGAGAGAGACCAGAGAGAGACCAGAGAGAGACCAGAGACAGACCAGAGAGAGAGCAGGGAGAGAGCAGAGAGGGACCAGAGAGAGACCAGAGAGAGACCAGAGAGAGACCAGCGAGAGATAAGAGAGGGACCAGAGAGAGACCAGAGAGAGACCAGAGACAGACCAGAGAGAGAGACCACAGAGAGAGCAGAGAGACATCAGAGAGAGAGCAGAGAGACATCAGAGAGAGAGCAGAGAGGGACCAGAGAGAGACCAGAGAGAGAGCAGAGAGGGACCAGAGAGAGACCAGAGAGAGACCAGAGAGAGATCAGAGAGAGAGCAGAGAGAGATCAGAGAGAGACCAGAGAGAGACCAGCGAGAGACCAGAGAGAGACCAGAGACAGACCAGAGAGAGAGCAGGGAGAGAGCAGAGAGGGACCAGAGAGAGACCAGAGAGAGACCAGAGAGAGACCAGAGAGAGACCAGCGAGAGATAAGAGAGGGACCAGAGAGAGACCAGCGAGAGACCAGAGAGAGACCAGAGACAGACCAGAGAGAGAGACCACAGAGAGAGCAGAGAGACATCAGAGAGAGAGCAGAGAGGGACCAGAGAGAGACCAGAGAGGGACCAGAGAGAAACCAGAGAGAGACCAGAAATAGACCACAAAGAGAGCAGGGAAGGAGCAGAGAGAGACCAGAGAGAGACCAGAGAGAGCCCAGAGAGAGACCAGAGAGACAGCAGAGAGAAACCAGAAAGAAACCAGAGAGAGACCAGAGAGAGACCAGAGAGAGACCAGAGAGAGCCCAGAGAGAGACCAGAGAGAGACCAGAGAGAGAGCAGAGAGAGACCAGAGAGACAGCAGAGAGATACCAGAGAGAGACCAGAGAGAGAATATTGATAATGCCTTGTGTGGATGATACTCTTACTACGGTTCATTATGATGTGATTCTCTGGGCCCTGCACTGGGCTGTGACTTTAAAAAGACTAATATTCAAAGTTGTTGACGCTATGACCGTTATTTTGACACGCTCATGTCTTCTCTGTAGTGAAAAGCTGACACAGGTCCAAACAACACCACGACCTTTCCCACTGTTTTGCCAAATTAACGCATCATTTCCACACAGGTCACGAAGCTCCTCGGTCTGCAGTGTCCCTTTGTGTTGCGTAAGTGCATTTTTCATAACTCACACTTCTTTGCCTTCTCTTCGTGAGCGCCTTCCCACAGATCTGACTCGGCTTCGTAAAAACAGATGGACGCAAATTCCAAACGTTTGGGCAGAAAGGTTGCCCTGTGCATATTTGCTACGTCCTAATTCTCTGCTCTTTGATGTGGTCTTTCTGATTCCGCTGCCGTCGTCTGCAGCTGCCCGGAATCTTGATCGTCAGAATATTTTATTTTTGTGCCAAAATGTGGATTCCCGGTGTAAGAAAATCTTCGCAAAACATCCTGAATGAAAATGATCCCGAAGTGCGCCTTGAATATTTTCCACGTTTAAGTTTGCCATATGAAGAAAACATGGACATTATGTAATCGCCAGTTCAGGGTTTGTTTGTGCCGCTTTTCGACGCTTGTTTTTGGAGGAATTTTTGGGGTTTTTGTGAGAAAAATTTGCATGTTGATTTTAATTTTCCATATCTTTGTTTTACCCTGGGAGGCTGGGAGAGTGGGGTCTTGATTTAGCAGGTTGCCTCAAGTGCCTATTGTAAAAGGCCGCCGTGAAAAATTACCTGTTGTAAACAAACCCTGAGCTTCTTCAAACTGGATTCCTCTCTGGTTTGATTCTAGTCTCTCTCTGGTCTCTCTCTGGTCTCTCTTTAGTCTCTCTCTGGTTTGATTCTGGTCTCTCTCTGGTCTCTCTTTAGTCTCTCTCTGGTTTAAGTAAGTAAGTAAGTAAGTAAGCTTTATTTATATACCGCCTTTCACAGACCAGAGTCACAAAGCGGTTTACATTTGTTATTTTTTTTGGGCACTTGTCCTCTCACTCCACACAGAGATGGGAGCGGGGTCGCCGAACAGGAGGCGCATGCCAGACCTATTGTACATATTTTTAGTGGTAGGGGAAACCGGAGTACCCGGAGGAAACCTACGCAGACACGGGGAGAACATGCAAACTCCACTCAGAAAGGCCCTGGTCCGGCCGGGATTCAAACCCAGGACCTTCTTGCTGAGAGGCGAGAGTGCTATCCACTCAGCCACGTGCCGCTGTTTTATTCTAGTCTCTCTCTGGTCTCTCTCTGGTCTCTCTTTAGTCTCTCTCTGGTTTGATTCTGGTCTCTCTCTGGTCTCTCTCTGGTCTCTCTTTAGTCTCTCTCTGGTTGGATTCTAGTCTCTCTCTAGTCTCTCTCTGGTCTCTCTCTGGTCTCTCTTTAGTCTCTCTCTGGTTGGATTCTAGTCTCTCTCTAGTCTCTCTCTGGTCTCTCTCTGGTCTCTTTTTAGTCTCTCTCTGGTTGGA